TTTTTTTTTGGCCAAACCAGAGCGGAACATGGTGCAAATGGGTAAAATAACTAAAACAAAGGATAAATCGGATTGTATATCTTTAATTTAAAAAATTCCGAATCACTACAATAATGGAAGAGAGATCAAACGGAGAGACAAAAATTATCTAAAGAAGATTAATTGGAGAAAAATATATTTTTACGTCAATGATTTCACGAAAAGGGTGTAGTAAAGATATTGATATTCCAGTGGAGAAGTTGATATTGATATCCTAGAAAACCTCCTTATCTAACCAACAGATACTCCTATTGAATTTCATTTGTAATTCAATTCCTCCCAATATACTTTGCAACTTCGTGGTCTACGATTTCTCCAATGTGAGAGATATTTTGCGCTGACTAACGATGTTGTTAACGCTATCAATGAACATATGTTGTCACTTATCGTTGGAGAAGTGAAGGTATGTTATAACTCTGATAGCATAGAATGACTGCAAGGTCAGTCAAATCCAGATGATGATGCCATTTACGCGGAGGAAATCTTAACTCCATTAAATTTTCTAGAATGCCAAATCATAAAATCACCCTTAAAGTCGGAGTGTCAATTATGCTTCTTCGAACATCCCAGTGGACTTTGTAATGGTACTAGACTACATGTCAATGATCTAGAAGATTGCGTCATTCAGGTGACAATCATATTTGGTACTAATATTGGTCACAAATATTTCATTCTGAGTATAGATATCCCTCCGTCTGATATAAGGATGCCGGTTAAACTTAAGCGAGGACAGTTCCATTACTTGCGGCTATTTTGTGATGACAATCAATAAGAGCCAGGCCAGTACTCTCTCAGCTGGGCCTGTTTTTGCTTCGTCATATATTTACGCATGGTCGGCTATACGTTACTCTTTCAAGGGTGAAATTCATAAAAGGTCTTGAAATTTTTACTTGATATAAAGATGAATTGAAAATACATGATATCTGCAGTCGTTACTTCTATTTCTTTTCCTTTCTATTTTTAATTTTTAAATAAGATTACAACATGTGTTATCTTTTTTCCATATTATCTATTTTATGCAACACTCGAATTTTCATTACAGAGATATTGTTTTACAAATATGTTAATAGCATATTTATTTTAGTTGTTTATGTTGATTTCTAAATTTTTCTGTATAATTAGCATCGTTAAAACATTTCGAAGAAGCATATCCAAACATCGGCCCGTGCAACGCACAGGTAAGTATTAGTACTAACAAAATGCCATAATTTATAAAATGGGATGCATTAATAGCATACTAGTTCTTTTCTAGTCGCGCGTTCTTATATTGAGTTTTAAAAGAAAAAGAGAATCCCAACCAGAGCATCCATAATAAAAAAGAAAAGATCAAGCAACAAGCGCATCAGAGAGAATACCATGGAATTTTACAAGGCAATAAAAAAAAAAACAAAACAAAACAAAAAGCAGCATCTTATGATTTTAACTTCAAAATTGAGGTCCTATGGAGAAGATATGAAAACCATCTACTGTATGCTCTTTGAGCAACCAAAACAAAAGAAAATCAAAACAATAATAAGACACCCCCTCATCTAAAAACCAACAATAAAGAGTAAACATTACAATAGTTTAATCATTTTCTATTTCTCTTTGCACATCAGTTTTACCCCTCTTTCAATTGACATTATTTGGAAAAATAATTTCCAGCAAACCCCTCATATAGCAATATTATTGTAGCAAAAGGAAAATTTAATTCAACAAAGCTTACAATCAAAACTTATAAGTGCAGAATGTACCACAACAAATAACACTGATTTACTCAAAGCAGCATATGGAACGGAGTACTATATGCATAAAGCTTGTCTGCTCTTCCAGACAATGTCATATTTAAGGGAAATAAGTTTCAACATGCAAGATCTCAGTCCTAGAAATGACTAATTACAATCACTAAAGAACACATAAAGAATTAGAACAAATTCTTAGCCAACAAACTCTTCAGGATCAGTCCCATTTTTATTGCAATCAACAAGCATCCTGCCAATTTTAGTGCAAGAATTTCCATGTTCCACCACCTCCTCTCATCAATAGTCACCAAGATAAACAACATGTAAAGTAACCAAAACGACGGCCGCTGAAACCCCTGCGGGAGCAGCTCTTCATGATTTTGATTCCGTAAAGTTTGGAAGCAACCCGTGCGACGAACCAAATCTCCAGTCGACACCCCTGGGGGAGCAGTTGTTCATGATTCTAATTTCAGAAAATTTTATTGGAGGAGAGAATCAAGGGCCAAGAGCAAACTGAGGGATCGCACCTCAACAGAGTCGAATTAGGATTTTGATGTAGTGTTTGTTTTTCAGTCAAAACGACGTCGTTTTGAACGCCTATGTTTTCCTAAAGAATTTGGTTATACGACCGATATTTATATTTGAACTTACGATTCTAACCATACTTAAATTGTTGATGTCATCATTAGTTATTAACCAATCAAATCACTCAATTTATTTATTAATCAATCAAATTGCTGAATATAACTCTTAACCAATCACATTTGAGATTCTAAACTCACCAAGAGACATTTCTTTATGTACAGATGAGAGGAAAACTCAGTTTAAAAAGAAAGTTTTATATGCTACAATCATGGGATGCATTTATAGCATATGGGAGGAGATGGATAGTAGAATATTCAGGAATCAGAAAAGGCTGGTTAAAGTCATCTTTCAGAAAATTCAGAGGACAGTGAAAATTAGAGTGGATCATAACAAACTAGATGTTATCCCATGCGGAGTTTATCATAGATATTGTAAAAAATATATAAAATAACAACATCATCTTTTTTATTTTTAAAAATAAACTTTATCTGATTAGAAATAGATTAGGCACCATCTTATTAACAATATATAAATATATATATATATATATATATATTGTATACACCATCCTATATATTGCAAAGGAAAAATATAATAATGCAAAGTGTAAATATAATAATTTTCTCTAATCAGATCTATCATATGAAAACGTGAAAACATGTTTACATCAATCAAAAATGAAGTAAGAAAGAAAAAAAAACTACTGTCGATGAATTATTAATTCTATGACCATTTTCTCATCTGCAAAACAAAGTCCTTAAAATACCACTAATAAATAATGGAATTAATAAAAAGTAAAATTATATACGCTTGATTTTTACAACTCGGTTGACTAACTATTCATATGACTATACACGAGATACGGTGTAGATATATGACCATTGGTATTTGTCCTAAAATTCTAGTTTATGAAAATCTCATCTTTAACCTCAAAAAACATAACAATAATAGTGTTCACCAAATATGCCATAGAGTTTAGATTGTCTTTTTTACCTATAATTGTCGGAGTTACAAATAGTGGTATAATGCTTTAGATTATAGAACTCAACCTTCTTCTCCCGTACAACTCCATTTGCATTGAAATTCAATAATTTTTCAAATGATATCAGCCAAAATTCAAGAAACCAAACAAAACAAAAATGATATGTAATACAATGCTTAGAAATTACTTCTTAACCAAAAAAAAACAAAAAACAAAAAAACAAAAATGAAACAAAAGCACAATTTTCTTTTAAGGAATGGACGTTTATATATAGAACAATTATGGTTCTTGTAAAGCACCAAAAAATAATTTTGAATTTTGAATGATTTTGATGAGCTTTTAATTCTAATTTATTTGGTAAAGATTCTTGATCCACATAAAAAATAGTCATTGTTGACATTGTGCGCACACAGTGTTCCAGGAATCAATGATAGAATTTTGAAAAAGGATAAAATTCAACAACAAATTACCATATCAAAATTTGATTCAAAATTCAAACTCACAATATGTTTTGAATGCATAACCACACATTGATGTCTTGATAATTTAGTTAATTACGTAATATTCCAAAATTTTAGGCCACGTGTAGTAATACTCTGAATTATGGGATTATTTTGAGGAAGGACTAATAATTTTGGGGATTTTTTTTTTAGGAATGATTGTTTACTTATCATAGTTTTTATTGAATAATATTATTAGTCATTCCAGTACTTTTGGAGATTATTTCGGGGAGGGATTAATTTCAGTACATTAATGTTGATTAATTCTGTCCATTAAAATTTGATTAATTCCCATTTTCCATTTTGAACAAATGTTTTAAATGTAATTTTGATAAAACCTTATTTACAGAAAATTCAAAGGACTATTAGTGTAATTGCAAAAATTATTATTTGAGTCATGGATCAGAAAAATACCACATAGTACCTTTAGAATTTTTTTTTTCCTCTCTAGTTTCTTTCTTAGTATAATACTAATATATTATAGATAGATAGAAGAAAATAAAGGCAAAAGAGAAAGAATTATATCATCACTTTTTTGCATTAGTGTGATAGTATCAGTATTGATGTTTAAATATAGCAATTTTGGTAAGAAACTTGTACTTCAACGTTTTATCTGATTTTATAAAATTTACAGTGTTTACCGAAAAAAAAGAAAAAAAAAAAGGCCACGATTTTATATTTCGCTTGAGTCTCAATTACCATTGAACGTTGTTCTGCTCTACCATAACTTCTTTAGTTTAGTTATATTTTTTTTCCTCTAAAAGAGAAAAATTTATAGGAATTTAATGTGAAATGGTTTTTGTTTAGTTCAATTCCTTTGCTGTACCCTTTCAAAAAATCGAACAAAGGCATATGGTTGGCCTAATTCCACATTAATTAACTGATTACATCATAATCTCATTTCTTCAGACAAGGCACATCACATCACATATGGTTCATGTTTTTCTGATCCATAAGTATATAATATACTTTCTGCGTGTTCCAAAAAATAATTTAATACTTTTTTAGAAAGATTATTTCTCTAGCAGGGAGCAAGTTTATAAATATGTGTTTAATGCAATGATGAACTCAAGAAACACGTTGTAGACAAAGGACAACAATGCCACACCAATATGCAATTTCAGTTAAATTTAAAGTACGTAGTATAGAGCACTATAAAGTAAAGGGCTTCATATTTGGAAGAGCATCAAATCAAAAATAAAAGAAAAAATCCATGGCAAATGTTCATGGTGAATTCGAACCCTGGAACCACCTTGATGGAAAGATTGTGTTAGTGACCGGTGCATCTTCCGGACTTGGCCGGGAGTTCTGCCTGAATCTCGCCAAGGTTGGCTGCAAAATCGTGGCGGCTGCCCGTCGCGCCGACCGACTTAAGTCCCTCTGTGATGAAATCAACCAATTTTCTTCTTCAACAAACAGCTGTTCTAACGACCATTTTCGAGCTGTATCCGTTGAGCTCGACGTTACGGCGGATGCTCGTACCATTGAAATGTGTGTGAAAAGAGCTTGGGATGCATTTGGTCACATCGATGCTTTGGTTAATAATGCGGGAATGAGAGGTAAATTTAACATGGAATCACTAAAAATTTTTATTTATTTATTATTTATTATTGTTTGCATTGAGGTAATTAATCTAAAACTATACTCACTCCGCCCAAAAGAAATAGACCATGTGACAAAGTAGACTGATTTTCTGGGATGAAGAGCTTTTCATCTTGACACACTCTTTTTTTTTTTTTTTTGGCCGACATGATTTATCTTAAATAATAATGCTAAAGTATGTATATCCATAATGTGTTATTATAGGGAAAATAAGTTCATCACTAGATCTGTCTGAAGAAGAATGGAATACTACTTTTAGCACAAATCTCACCGGCGCATGGCTAGTTTCGAAATACGTTGGTTTGCAAATGCGTGATGCTGGTAAAGGAGGATCTATCATCAATATTTCTTCCATTTCCGGTTTGAATCGAGCCCAGATGCGTGGTGGTGTTGCTTATAGCTCTTCAAAAGCCGGCATGGATTCGATGACGAGGGTACGTTAATTTTTAAAATCGTTGTTGATATTCATCCTGTCTCAAAAAGTAGACTATTAAAATGGGACGGATCAAGTAACATTTATATTTGGAGGTTATTCTAATTTGGGTTTGTTGATGTTATATAACAGATCATGGCCTTAGAATTGGGACAATACAAAATCAGGGTGAATGCAATAGCTCCTGGACTTTTCCGTTCAGAAATTACTGAAAGCCTTTTGGCAAAAGATTGGATAGATAATGTGGCAAAGAAAACTATTCCATTAGGCACATTTGGCACATCTGATCCTGCTTTGACATCACTCGTTCGGTTCTTAATCCATGAATCCTCAAGCTATGTAACTGGAAATCTTTTCATTGTTGATGCTGGATATACCCTTCCAGGTGTCCCAATATTTTCTTCCCTCTGAAGAATAAGACAAAGTTGCACAAGTATTAAGCTCAATGCGAGGCATTGGATGCCCTTATCATGTCGACTGATGAATGATGCAGCCCAATATGCGTGGTTTTCGTTTTGTATTTTGTGACTAGATTTTAAGACTTCAGAAGAGCAAATTAGCCTTCTTCATTAAGTGATTAAGACTATCTTGTTGCTCTTTGACAATCCAGTAGAAACTGCAAAATGTCTTCATTGTACTTAAGGCGATTCAGAGGCGATATGATAGCGATAAATCTACCTCTTTGAAGACGCAACACATAACAGAACGCGCTTATGTTTTCTTTTATCCGTGCTATATCATTTTCCAAACTACGTTACTCTAATGAATCACTCACCTTATGATTGCTTGGTACTGTTCATTATCATGGCATAAGTTCCACACCGAATGTCGAACTGCATACCTGCTTTCTGGTGTGCTGACAATGATAATCTGAAAGAGGAAGATGTAGATCTCCCTTCAATGAATTTAACTAGGCATGTCAGATGAATTCAGATCTAACCTAGTGCCATAAATCTCTTCTCTTGTCTAACTTGATTTCTTGTGCATAGCAGTATCCCTTTAGCTAAATGGAAACTAATATAATGCTAGCTCCCTTACTGGAACACGATTAGCATGAGCAGACACGGCAAGACCAGGCAAATTGTGCGAAGTAACAGTTCCTGAAAAATGCTTCCAACAAAGAAAGATGACATTACAGTATTGAGATGAATGCGGTGCAGAAACCGTAAAAGCAGCCCTGCAAGAATTAAAAAGATTTAACATTCAAGGGAATGTGCAGCAGTAGAAGATCGATACAGAATCAGAAATGGTCGTAGCAGCCAATGGATCCCTATGTTTTTTCTCTTTGTAAGAATTAAACCTGTATGTAATGAAACACATTCGTTTACAAAAGGATATGTAGACCAATTAGTAGTATTACAATTTACAAGATATCTATGTATACCATATGCTTTACAAGATCATATGCTCAATGAAAATCCCCATGTTAATGTCGCAGTCACCAAAACCTGCAAATGTTTTGACAAACAACTCAGTTTTACCTCGGCAGTCTTCTCATGTGATCAACAAAAGCCGAAAAACTCTTTTGTGGGATCGGAGATAGAACCTTTGAATTAGACCTTGCCCCTTCATTCATCTTCCTGAGATGCTGATGAAACCATGATTTCCACTGAGTCAATATTACCAACTCTCCCAGTTTCTCTAGAATTTGCTTTCTCTTGAGACTGATCAGCCACTGCAGCAGACTGGCAATTCTTGTCCAAAGAAGTTCCAGTTTTATTACATCCACCAAAATCGCCCAAAGGCGATTCAGATGAAACTCCTTGAGAACTCAAACAAGTCAATTCATTCTCACACCTCAACCCCAAATTCAAACCAGAATTACAATCCTTCTGAAATGGGGCAGAGCTTCCTAACTCAACATCAATCTTCCCTCTAAGATCAAGTAAAAGCCCTTTGAGCCTCAAGATTTCAGCTTCCATAATTGTTTGCCTCTGAACTTTCCTAATCAACTGCTGGTTCACCAATCGCAGTTTCCTAACCTCCTCTTCCAAAAAAGCACTGTGCGCCTTCTTCTTCTCCCTATACTTCCTAACAGCTTCTCTATTTCCAGAAGGCCTCTTAGATTTCAACCTTGACTTTTCATTATCAGTTGGGAAATCCAGTTTCTCATCAGGTTGAATGACTTGGGTATGTGTATGGTAACATGTGTGAGTGTGTGCAGAATCATCAGGTCCAGGAGGGTTGCAAGTATGGGTATGAGTACATGAAGTTTGGGCATTTTTCAACAATTCATCAAAAAACGAATCCATAGAAACAGAAGATTGGACATTAACAGATGAATCAGAGTTTGGAATCAAAACCTCTGCTTCTACCACTCCTCCATCATCCATATCTCGTCTCTCCATCCTCAAAAAATAATCAGTGTAAAGAAGCCATCAACAAAGATGAAACCTTTATGAAGAAAACAAAGGATTCGTCAGTCAACGAAACGCACTAAAATTTGTTTACCTTGGAAAAATGAAAATCAATCTTTGTCAATCGAAAGAAGCTAGCACCAGTTATCTATATAAACCAAGAAAGCAAAGCCCAGGTGGAAATTCTTGATAGAAACACCGTAGGCTGTCATAGAATTCGAGGATTGACAAGAACAACTGTAGTTAAGGAGGTTGTTTTTTCTGAAGAGAATCTGAATTCTCCAAGTGGGGGACATTGACTAGGTAAAAGAGCATCAGAAACAGGGGGCTCTGGTTTAATCGTCTAGAATAATATGGGAGTCAAACGAAGAACTTCCTTCGGTTTTCTTTTTAAATTTTTTTTTTTCTTTGGTCCGAACTCTGGAGTTTTTAACCCAATTTCTTTTCTGTTATGTTACTTGTCTCTTTGTCTTAATACAATTTGCACTCGAGTTGGCCATTGATTTCTCACTGTTTTTCCTTAACAAATTTGCTAAGCAGAATGGCGTCCCATAGAAATGACAATCATTTTGAGTAAGGAACACATCATCTCAGAATCTAAAAACCCATATTATGCTCAATAATCGTCCTGTTTTAAATTAAAAAGAAATTGTAGAATAGAGATTCAGCAATTTGGGTTGATAATTATCTCACTATGTCAAAGTCGGCTATACTCTATTTAAAAAGGAAAATAAATTCCAAGGCAAAGTAAGCAATAGTTTGATAATACATTAGAGTTCGAATTCATTCTCTCTAATGTAAGAAGTACGTCACTGAATTGCTAGAGGCAAGTCAAACTCAAAAAAAGAGGTGGAAAGAAACGACACAGGCCAAGCTAGAGATTTCTTCTATACAACCATCCAACTTTGGGGCATTTAAACATTCGTCTACAAGTCTACAACTATTTCAGTACCACTGCTGCATTCCTAAGGGCCAAGTATCTCTGAACATACTCATTAGGAAGGGATCTTATAATCTTGAAGACTTCAGTGTTGGCATATCGAAGTTTGGTCCTTGGGTCAAAGTAAGGTGCCTGCAAGGGAAAACAAAGTCTTGAAATATAAGCACGGAGTACTGTTCCGTTTCAGTAGAACCAGAAAAGGGACGATTAAGCATGACTTCATACTTATAATTTGTGGGTCCAGAGTAGAATTCTAGATCAACAATTCAATCATTTTCCTAAACTTAGTACATGAATGACATACTGGGTTGATGTTGATGAGTACATCAATGAGATATTGCTGAACAAATCTAAGTTTCAGAGTCAGCTAATCCTAATATGTTTCCATTCATCTATCCGCAATCAACACAAAATATATTTCATCTATACATAAATGGATAAGGAAAGAAGACATGGATAATCATGATGAATGGAAATGGATGCATAACTTAGTAGCTGTTTGTTTCGACAACTGGAAACGGATTTGAATGATGGCAGATTGGATTCAAATAATCACGGATTCATGGATTCAAATAATGAGTTTGGTTAAGATATGGATTCCTATTATTGTAATATTATAAAAATATTTTTTAAAAAATCCCTTTTTTCTATCTATTCCCTTCTCCCTTAGGTTCTGCTTATCTCCTTTCCCACGCCCACCACTTCCCCAACCGAAAACCACCATGACCACCACCCATCTTCACCCAACATTGCTGCTACATTCCATCTCCTTCATAAATCACCATCTTTTCCACCAAATACCAATCTTCACAACATATTCTTAACCCCAGAAACCTTCCACTTTCACCCCTCCAACCTCGAAGCATCAAAACCACCCACCAGTCAAAATCCTCCACCCTCCATTTTGAGCCAATGAATATGATCACCCCTCTCTTTCCTTTTCCCTCACAAGATCGGCAAACCAGAATTTATTTGGATAGCCCAATGTACAAGAACAAAAGCAACGCAACTCCAAATAAATTTGCGACTTCGAATTCGAAAAAAAAAGGAATAAAGTACATCTTCTTCCACTATTTGTATTCAGATCTGCATTTTTCTAAGGGTAAATCTGAATTGTTGATTTATATTCATGGTTTAGAAATAATTTTTAATTTTGATATATTGAATTGGGAATAGATCGGGCTACAAGAAATAGTTAGAAGATGGTGGTGGCTAATGGCACTAACGCCGGAGGTGGAGGTGGCGGCGGTAGTTATGTAACTGGCACTGGCGGCTAGATTACGGCTGGTAGTGATTGGGCTTGGACATAACGAAGGAGAAGAAAGGAAAAGATAAAGGAAATTTTCTTTAAGATAAAAAAGGAAAAAAAAAATCAGAAAAGGATTGAAGCTCGGATTCAACTTGAATCATGGGGGAGAAGGGGTGATTCATTCTTTTGGATTCAGCCCATTCCAAGAATCCAATTCCAGGCAACCAAACAATTGAAACGGTTTGGAATCCGTTTCCTGAATTCGATTCCAAGGAAACAAACGGCTCCTTAATCACAGTGGAAATCTACATAAACAACCCAATCGTTTCTCAGAGGATGGTGCATCCATGACATATTGCTCAACATATCTAAGACAATTAATATGTCTGCCTTTGGTTAGGGCTATGGCAATGTAAACAGATGCCAACATGCTCCCATTCGTCTCTCAGCAATAAAAACAAATCAAATATCTAAAGATAAAGGGATAAGCAAAGGAGAATTCTACGAAGGCCATAATACAGATCAAAATTATGACATTGGGATACAATTAATTAAACTATTCCTGATGGGTTATGTATCCAGACAAGCACTAGAAATAATGGCACAGGGCCCGAAAGCATCTTGACTCAGCAGAGCAACCAATCAGAAAGAAACATTTTATCAACAACCATAAATTGGGGAAATTCAGAAGTCCAAAAGATGCTTTATCACATAACATCAGTGGAGTTGATACAGCTTTTTCTCATACAGAATAGTTATCTAACTCAGAGGTCGCCTATGATTTTTTTTCCACTTTTACCTCTTATGACTGATTTCCAACAAGAATAATCTCCTTCCTATCAAAATATCAGAAACAACACTTGATTTAGCTCAGAATAATACCTCATAGCCAGTTATATCACAAATTCTTTTGCATGGATGCATTGAAGGAGGCGATCCAATGTTCACATCTGCAAACAAATGCAAAGATAAATAAATTCAGAGTCAAGAAAGACAAAACTAGCAGCAGGTTGATTTTCAGTAATCAAAAAGTAGGCACAACGTTTATTTTTCAAATGAATCAAATCTCAATGAATGATTTTATTTATTATTTTGCTTGAAGTGAGTATTTTGAATGATTAATGAAATAACCATAAGCCTCTTTCTACCTCTGGAGTCCAGATCAATAATAATAAGAGGTCTCTATGAAGCTAAGATTTCTCTTAGCACGCAAAAACACTTTGACCATCAAGGAATATCTCTAGCCAGACTTTGAGATTCAGTTTCTCGGTTTACAACAGTAGGCTCAGAAAATATAAAAAAGGATATCTTTTAAAATGGTAAAATTCAAGGAAACTTCATTCTACAGATTAGTCTCCAATACAATGTCAATCCATTAAAACAAAAAGAGGAACCCGGGATTTCCTGTATTCAGAACTCTGGTTGCTTCCTACCTTTCTTCATCTCCTTCACAGGTATGTCCAACGAGCATATTGTAAACAGGGAACCAGCCAAAGACTTACATTCTAATATACTTTCACACACAAAAACTAAGAAATTGAAGGTAAATAATATGCTAAAAATCTCAGACATAGTGAAAATAAAGAAATATCTACTATTCAAGTACGGCAGAAGAGATAATCTCCAAAAAATAGCTGAAGTTTAACAAGATCATATAATGTAATCATCAATACGTGCCAAGGAAAAGTTAAGAGGGAAACGCACAATTTGGTTCATCTGGTGGCTGGTTCTGGTAATTCTCTGCTTGTATGATATGCTTAAGATGTTTCCACTGCCTTCCTCTAGCTTGCCCCTTTGGATACTTTTCATACATCTGAACCTTCTTAAATTTCATGTGAGTTGGCAAAACTAACTCCGCTTCAATCACTTCTGCCTCCATCTGACTCCTTGAAAAATTGCAAATCTGTTTACTAAACTGGAGGGATTGGGGAAAAAAAAAATCAAAGGAGAAGGGGAGAAGAACAGAGATGATGATGAAGAAGAAGGAAGCAACGGAGTCTTGGTTATGCTGGAGTCAGCGGCAGAAAGAATTGACGATGTTCGCCCACAGTTGCAGCGGCGGCCGTGATTAGGGAAGAAAACTAATATGTCACGACCGGAGCAATTCCGATCAGATCGGAGGGAGGGATTGAAGAATTCAGAGAGAGACGGGGCAAGAACTAGGGTTAGAAATTGGGAAAGTCGGAGAAAAGGATTATCTGAGTAAGATTATCCATTCACACTGTCCAAAAATAAGAATATCCATTCACCGTACAATCTTGACTCTACAGTCATAGTTTCAGAAATTTACTAATTGACCCTCTAACTACAGAATTGAGACAATTAAATACGTAATTTGTGACAACCACCCCTCCCAAGACTGTTTATATAACAAAAATGACGAAGGCGACATGATCAACAGAAATGGCACCAAAGTCCTTATCACAAAAGATTGAAATAAAACAAAAACAAATGAAATGAACTAGACAAAAAAAAGCTACTATAACCGACAGAATGCCACTATGAACGTTGCCAAATGACTGAATATGCATCACTGTTGAATTTCCACATGAGAAGTTCAAAACCAATGGAGGAAATTGATGAAACTTTGCTCTCTGCCAATTCCGCTATTACCCCAAATCTCCACAGATGGTTAAATAATTTAGGTCAACTCGCTCGCCATCTACTGTCCATAGAATGCTATCGGAAACAATATCATTGGCCATTCCTCACATAACATCACATTAACCTGTCCCAGCTTGCAATTATGTTCAGGTTTGAAACGTTCCCCATACCTATAGCATAGGTGATTATTTGCCCTGTATTAAAATTGTTGAAAATAAAACTAAGTTATAAGAGTGAATAAGAAATTGAGTTCTCATGTGATTGGAATTGTAAAATATGACTCGGGCATAGGTGTGCCTTCGAAACACTGGATAGTAACTCACGTGCCTGATCAACCCGTGTTTTACCGACTGATTTAAAACGTCTAATCAATTGAATGGAAAGTTATGGAGAATTAAATTAGAATGTAAACAGACCATTCATTTTCTCATATTTTACTATTTCACATTAATCCATTATTATTATTATTATTTTTTTATAAGGTCGGGAACTCCACTAGAGATGGGTAAACCTACGCCCACTATAATAGTCTGCAACCACAGTGGGAGATAAACCACCTTAGGCAAATCCGGAGTGACAAGCTAGAGTGCGAAATCAGGGTTCATTAGTGGGTTAGTCATAACAAGTCCCAAGAGGCGCCAATAGGCAAGGTGAGAGCCAACCTCTCACTTTTTGTTGGAGTGGAGGATTGAACTCATGACCTCCTCTTGGAGCAAGGGCGGTTTTACCACTTAACCAACTGTTTATTTGCATCCATTATTTTATTTTCTTTAATATGGGGAATGAATAGTTGTTTTTAATTTAATTAAATTGGTAGCCATGTTTAACTTCTTCTCCTTATATATTGAGGCTCTCTCTCAACATTAAGTAATATTATGAAAATGACCCCAACTATTCCTTCATTCCATTAGCTAAAAATCTTCATAGTCTATCTTGATGTTCATCAAAATTCTAGTTCCAGTTCATCGGTGATTTTGTCTAGGTGCAAGACTAAGATCACGTTATCTGTTGTATTCTGGGAGACAGACATTTTTTAATCCTCTAGTAATCTATGAGAGGGAGCGAATCTGTTTTAAGAAAAATGTGTCTTCACGTGCCTCGGAATTTCTTTTCAATTTCTTGAATTCTTGTTGCCATCACGAATATATCCTACACAATTTACTAACAATCTTAAAACAGATTCGTACCGTATTTACGATGGCAACCAAATTTGACCCTTGGATCTTCGGAAAGGTTATAGGATGAGCTAAATCTTTCATGAAGAGTTTCACAGCAGATCAGCCTGCAGCGGAAGACTGATGAATGTTGTCGACTTTGCTGTCGACATTTGGAGATTGACGCCAAAGTCGACGAAAATGAACAGAATGCGATGTTCACAACCATCGAGTCGACATCTCTATACCGACGAGCAGATTGACAGAAAATAGGATAGCATTATTTTATTGAAAATAAATTGACAATTCTTATTCTTCATGTAAGGATTATAAAGAAATCAAATGTTCATATGTTTGAACAACGATAAAGGATATTCAATGGAATCAAGTGCTGGTGAGAGCCGATGTAAGTTAAACAAAAGAATATTGGATTCTCCATAAAGGTATGTATATAATGCCTTCAAAATGCACAAATAGAGTCATGATTTTAATAGATCTATAGATGTGACTGTAGAAATCACTTCTTCCGAGTGCTGTGAACATCCCTGTGCATAGGAAAACTTCATACTTATGTCAATTAACTATGATCTACAAAATGTCATGACATAATCATATTTTACAGCTCAATTTCTACTTGATAAAATATGCACAAAGCATGTTTTAAAAGTTGATAGTTTCAACATGCGTTAAGAAATAAATTGGGGCAATTACTTTCTTTGGTTAGCAGAAAAAAATATATGTTGATTTCATGTTTGGAAAATATTTGGGTATGTGATGGGTGTCGAGACCACCAAAATAAACCTACATAAAATTTGTAACAAGTGATAAGAATGGTCAATTCCACAGAGACGGGAAACACTTAATGAAAATTAGGATCTAATTCCAAAACACAGAACAGAAGTAAAAATAGCATATTGGCAAGTGAGTTTATAAATTGGCAAAGTGATGGTAGCCTAGGGTCGTCCTCTACTCTACTATATATGCATATGTATTGATTCTTTTTGCTCTTTATGTGGTATGGAACTATATTCAATCAGACATATAAACACTGTAAGGTCACTTTCGATTTTTCAAACAATAGTCCTAATAGTAACCAGTAACTAACTTCCGTTGTCGACTCAAAATTACTACTAAGCCATTAAGATTTTGGGCTGTTATGATTGTCTCGTGTCAAACAACTAACTTCCGTTGTTGTTTGAAACCTTGATCTGTTACCCCTCATCACTGGTTAATCCTAGACGTTCTAAGTTAAGTTTACCCTTCCGGGATTCCCTTAACATGTAAGCACAATTAGTTTGAATGGCATGTTCAACCTAAAAGGATAATTAAAACTCTAGAATTAAGCATACACATATCATCCGAGAGTATAAATCAAAACATAATATACAGAGTAGAGGGATTAGACCCTAGCAACGAGTTTAGCTACTCATGGATTGGAGCTCAAACACCAAAAAGTTCAGGTGTGGACACTTCATCCTGATTACAATAGAAAGAGAAGAAAATAAGGGAAGAGTAAAGTCAGGGAGTGTGGTAAAGTACAGCTGACTTCGCAGAGTCAGCTTCTCATTTTCCCAATTGACACCCTTGAGTCTACCTTCCAGAGTTATACTCTGTTTCTTCCTAACTGAACTAAACTACACTAATTATTCTACTTCTAAGTGTTTCTGGTCTTCGATACCTTCATCTTTATGCTGTTGCTGCCTTTTATAGAGGTTGGGGGAGAGATCTTGCTTAGCCATGTTGGTCTCCTCTTTACCCGATGGGGTTTTATGCAAAATAGAGGAGACTCATACTTCTCCCAACTTCCCCCTTACCTCTAATCATCATTTGGAGATATTTAGTCGAATAACTTCAGCTTTAAGGCATATTAATATTCTCCAATGTCACTAGTATCACTTCACCAACGGCTCTTCTTCCTTAGCTTCAAAGGATTGCTCCAATTTCTTCCTTCTTCCAGTCGGATTCAGCTCATCTCAGCCCTTGCACAATGTCCCTGCAACAACTTCTAATTTGGCTCAAAACTTCACCAATTTGTCACATTTAGCCATCTTTTCTGCTCATATTGTATTTCAGTCCCTGGATTACCATAAGTCACCAAATTAGCCTATAAACATATAATCCTATCCTAATTGATCTATAATTAAAGTATAAAAAGGTAAAATTGATGCCTAAAAACATAGTACGAAATGCACTCATCAGTTTGTATCTTGTGCCATGAGCTAGACTATGCATTTTTAGCCCCAAGCATGTAGATGTTCATGTATCACTTTTAAAATAGAAAATGACTCAAAATTAATTAACCATTGATGCCAAATTTTTGTGGGCTGATATTTCACAGGGAAGTGACTTCGAATGGCCATTATTTTGATAATAATTTTTTTTTAAAAAATTATATTTTCCCGAATAACTATATTTTTTAGGTGCACATTTTGGGAGAATATAAGTAAGGCCCTAGCTTGGTCAGTGCTTAAAGTCAGGAATTATTAACATTAATTTGGTGACCGTTACATGTAAATCGGAAAACTTTAACTTGAGTTAATTGGTCACATTTCTCAATATAGTTTTCCATTTATGAGGAAAAGATTAATTGATTAATTAAATACTTTGTCTCTCATAAAAATGGCAAGAGTAACAAGACCTGAAAATTTCCTTGGTTTGGAAATGAATGCAAATGTAATGAATTGTTGAATGACCTTAATTGCATTCATGGGTGAAAGACAAAAATGATGAATTTATCAGTTTCTTTGCATCTAAAATATAGAAAATGAAGGAAATGGTCTAAGTTTTGTCGGAATATTGCAACCTAAATGCAATATTTTGTTGTACAAATATTTTGTTGTGCAAAGCATTACAAATATTGTTGAGATTTGTACTGATTATACTTTTGATGACAGCAATATAGAAGTTTCTTGTCATGAAGGAAAGAGCAGTGGCAGAACTAATTAAAGAATTTTTATCTGTCTTCGTAGTATTGAAATTATTGTGTTTGAGGAAATATGGAAATTTCACAATATGCAAATTATATTAATTGCATAATCAATATGTGTAAATTCATTTAATTGAATTAATGAACATGATGGTATTATTTCTCATTATAAGGGCATGTTTTTGTGTGGAAGTTTAAAAACATGAAGAGCATGTTTGCCATTATATTCGTATGGGTGAGCCAGTGAAATTATTTTGTGATAACTTCCATAGTATTAAAACAGTAGCATCCTGTATTCTATGACAAGTTCTTTATTGTCATATTATTGGGGTGCATGTGTAATTACAAATTAATGCATGCACAGATGATGATTACGACTATACACTCATTTGTATAAGTGATCATCAAAATGGTATTTCTGAAATATGCATTATGAGATGCCCACTTTTGAATAATGTGAATTGGTAAAATTTTGAATATTTGGATGTAAAATCCGGTGCATGTATAACGTTGAAAAAAACCTATGAAAATT